ACTTATATTAAACTGAAAGGAAATCCCACAGATACATAAAAAAGAACTCATAGGAATAGTTAACAAAGGGTTAAAAATTTAAATTTAAAATAAAAAAGAGCGAAGATACCTAATCCCCTCAGTATGTGGAATTCCTGTTATATATTTCTTACCTAAAATACACATTTCTTACCTAAAATAAAAAAAAACATCCGGGCGACCCATAGTTAGTGGGATTGGATCCCTTCTATCTAGGGTGGGTGAATATGTTGACTTCTTTCTTCACCCTATGATTATTGAAACTAAGGGGTTATTTACTATTGAGCCGAAGGATCCAGCCGTAGCTTTGGCTGATCCTTCGGCTCTCTTCACCCCCCGGAGCCCTTTGGTTCAGCTATTCAGCTATTCACTATAGCCCTAAAGGCGGCCGTGCTCCTCAGCCGAGCCGAAGGCATATGCTTCGGCTCAACTGAGCCGAAGTGACACCTGAAGCGGGGCGAATGGCCTGATGAAGGCCAACTGTAAGCCCTGCAAATGACCTGGGGATGCTGATCTGTCATTAAACAATAACTGGGCAGAGCCGGCCGTGACACCAGTTGTTATTCATTAGCCAGGACCTGCTAGAATACTAAAAATTTGGTTGGTAGAATGGAAAGGGACCACCTTTTGAGAAGAAAAAAGAAACTAGAAGAGGAGACTGGCTACCCCTTGGCCTTTATAACTAATTATACCTCCCAATACAGAGATAGTAAAAATGAAAGATGGATAGGATAATTGGCCCTTTAATTTCTAAGAAACCGCGAGTTATATACAGAAAAGCACCCTCCCTTAAAGATAAAACAGCAAAAAGTTTCCCAGCACACTCCCCAGCCAGCATGCAAAAAAAACCTGTCTAACCACTAAGGTCAAAAACAGAGGTTGTAGATACACGTCTTCTGCAGAATATGTGAAAGCCGCACCGCCTCGTCAAGGCACCTCTGTGTAGTGCAGTTCTAACTCTAACCTATGAGAGTCTCCATCTTGGAGCACATGTAGCAAAAGATAAATTGGGTGCAGGTTCACCAGGAGGCAGCCCAACCTCCTTAAAGGCACAGGGACACATAAGGGACCCCTCACTTGGTTTGCTCCCTTAAAGAAGCTGGTACACAATGTGGTAGACCACCACCAAAGATTAATTATTCACAATGCTCTGTAGGGTCTCACCAGAGCTCTGTAGGGTCTCACGAGGGCTATGTGGGGTCTAACCAGCTTGGTTAAACCCCACAGAGCTCTGGTGAGATACCACAGGGCCCTGGGCTCTGAGGTGTCTCACCAGCCTGGTTAGACCCCACCGAGCCCTGGTGAGACCCCAAAGAGCCCTGGTGAGACCCCAGCACTTTCAGGCAGCACTTTCCTGACAATCACTATGGAAGATGTACTATAAGATTCTTGTGTCAAAACTCTGGTACTAGTATTGTCCAGTGAAGGATCAATTAGACTTCACATAGAGTATGCCACCTTAAGAGGGTTGAGTATTTCAAAAATGGGTAACATTTACAAAAAGGAGGGTTAGTGTTTAGAGGGTTATATAAGTGCAAGGTTTAGTGTTTGAACAAGGCAAAGAAATAAAGCACTGCTCCTCCAAAGCCTCAGCAGGCGAAAGACAGCCTGGGGCTCATCAGCAGGGGTGTTTCCTCGTTCCAACCAAACATGCCCATGACTCAGCCCAGGACAGGGTGAAACATGTCAGAGGGGACTTTTAATAAACAGATTCAGAGTAGAACGGCATGCAGCTGAATTATTTCTTTACTATATACCTGTTATTGTTAGAGTTACAGAGAGTTAGTGTTAAAGACAAATTCCAGGAAAACATTTTTATAAGCTCTTGCAGTGGGGCCAGGGCCGTCTTTAATATTAAGTGGGCCCTGGGCAAGATTTTGCTGATGGGCCCCGGCTACCCACCCACCCCCTTCACCTGCCCCCCCACTCCCCAAACCAGACCCCCATATCCACCTACATCACCTTCCCCCGAAACTAAAAAATAAAAACAATATATGTATATGTGTAAATAGGTATATAGATATACTGTATATACAGGTCAATGCACTAATGCAATAAACTCAGGACTATGCAACACAATAAGGCCTCGTTCACACCAGACACGGTGCATTCCTGCCTGATTCTGGCCAGAAGGCACTGCATTGCGGCCGGCTCACTATGCTGTGGGGCAGGAGGGCACGTGGTGGTCCTTAGAAGTGAATGCTGCAAGCACTATTTTGTTCGGACCAGACCGCAGGCATTGATGTGTCTTGCATTCCCGTGTGGCCAATCGCATTGCGGCCAGAGGGCGTGGCTACGGTGCCATTCATTTCAATGGACCGCCACGCCTCCTCCTGCCCCACATGTACTGGTACATTTGTTCTAAACTACTTGTTAAATCATACCATAACATTTAAATTAAAATTCTTATTGTATGATTTATCGAGTAGTATAGAACAAATGTACCAATAGGTGGTTACATTAGTAAAATCAGTATTGCATTTACATTGCATGTCCCCAAACAATAGCTGCATGGTGCATTACATTTTCAACATATGCCTCTATATATAATGTAAATATACATATGCAATACCGATTTTACTAATATGACCACCTCTTGGTACATTTGTTCTATAATACTTGATAAATCATACAAGACTTATAATTTAAATCTTATGGCATGATTTACATGTAGTACAGAACATGGATATATTAGTAAAATCTGTATTACAATTACACAGCATATCATCAAACACATGGACTGAATCTACTTTGCAGGAAGTGTTTAGTGAAATGCCTGTAAATGCAACACAAGCCAGGTTGTTCCTCCCCAGTCCTGCTCCCAGACAGTACATGTACTGAAAGTGCTAAGATGTACTGTCCATGTACAGCTAAAGACATAAATGCAAATACAGATAATGAATGTTAACAGGTTTTTTTCTTCTCAGAATTACCTTTAAAGTTGTACTGTCTGGCTGTACCCTCCCCCTCCTTCTCCTCTGTGCCTGTCGGATCTCTGTGACAGGCATCGCGGGGGGAGATTACAGCAGGAGACATGCACGGACGGCCGGCTGGTCTCTTCACACAGGCTGGCTGCTACAGAGGATGAACGGCCGTACTCTCTCCCTACTTGCGCTGCTGCAGCTCTTTCTCTGTCTGCTGCTCGGGGCAAAAAGGGCAGCTGTTGTGGGCCCCTGTAAATTATAGGGCCCAGGGCAGCTGCCCCTTTTGACCTGCGGTAAAGACGGCCCTGAGTGGGGCTACTCCCACAAGATATTTTCAGCTGATCGAGAAATGCCAGCTGAAAGGGAACCGACAGCCCCACACACTGCACGAATTTCAGCCGGTACAATAAAAAATGTCTGGGATTCAGCCAGTGTATGGGCATCTTTAAATTGACCAAAACTGTCATTTAAAGATCTACCTAAGCTATCCAATCAATCAGTATCCAATCAGACAGACCCTTGCAATAAACATAGTTGCTGATAGATCTAAAAGAGGATGTACAATCAGATTGTAAGGTCTATGGTGAGCTATATACATTATAACACAGGCCCTCCACCAGCACACCATATACCTGACACTATACTCACCACAAAGAAAAAAGAGAAAGTTCGGACTTTTAAGGTACTCCAAAGATTACACAAAGTGTCCTTTTTTATATAAAATGTAACAATTGTTTATTTAAACATATCTAAAAATACATAGATGTTGTTTTACAAAAAGAAAAAGATTATCTAAAAAAGACCAAAAAATGTAGCTGCATCCTCCCACAATTTTAACATTACAATACTTTTTACAGTTTGCTGGGTATCAGCTTCCTTATTGTGTTGTAGTCCAGTGGGAGGATGACGCATTTCTACACGTTTCACGGAGATCGGCTTCTTCAGGAAAAGGCTACTACTTTCTATAAAACGTTTATATATTAAAGAACTATACTCACCAGAATGGACTCCTATGACAGCCATAGAGATCAGTGTGATCAGACGGAGCTCCATTTCCTCCTATATGATATACAACGCAGACCCCGAACACTGCTGTCACCTCTTCTATGTCTTCTACACCTACTGACACTCTGCACAGGGGAGGGGGAGATACTCTGTACTCAGGATGCTGCTGATTGGGTGAATTTTAGCTTCTAATAGGAAGATTCATACATGATCATCAGTTGCAGCAGGAAAAACGAGAAATAGAAATAAGCAAGAAAGTGAAAGTGAAATGCTGAGATATTTTAGAAATAATTGGACTGACTAGGCGGGTCCAGAGAATTCCATGTTATTTAGCAACCATTTTGTTGCTTCAGAAAATAATAGTTATGTTTACCAACACAAGCTTGTATCAGTTCAACTCCATCCAAAACCTTTAAAGGCATATTTTTTTTTCATAATCAAGTTTTATTCATTTTCAAGAGGTATACAGACATACAACAAAATAAACATGGTAAACAAAAAAAAGGGCCGCTGTTTATAACTATACCAAACTCTACCATATCACAGATCATCACCCAGAGTGTGAGAATGCTCCAAGGGTACGCACAGGCCGAGGCTTGGTAATGAAGGTGTATATGGTAGCAAATAGAATATAACTTATAATGACAGCTCCCTTCCCGGGGACTCCATCTCTATTACAGACTTGTAATAGAGAGCAGCGCTATAACCCGAAAACAAAGATCTGGTAGGTGGAAGAAATCTAAGAAGGAGGGGAAAGGAATAGGGGAAGGGAAAAAAAGAGAAGAGCCCAGGGAAAGCAAAGGAATGACGAAGAAACAAGGTGAAACGTGGCTGTACAGAAGGGAAAAGGAAGAACATGCGGAAAGAAAAGGCACAAGAGGTGGGAGAGATGGGGCATCAACCAAGCTACAGTATTAATTCCAATCTTCCAAAGGTGCAATCCATACTGGTTGGCTGCAAAATTATATATAAGCTCATGTCAGAGCCCTGTAATCCTCCGAGTCAAGAAACATCAGCCTTGGCCTTCATGGTGCCTTAAAAACGGTATGGCGGTCAGAACGTTGAGCTATTAGCTCCTCTGACCTCATCAGCGAACACATCTCCACAGACCGTTCCTGAATTGAGGGGGTAGTTGTCGAGTTCCAGTATCTAGGAATCAAAGCTCTCGCAGCATTGATAGAGAAAAGCGGAGCAGAGATTTTTTTATGCTAGAGATGGAGCCCGGGAGTATAGACAATAGGGCCACCTGAGGGGTCAGGATAATATTCACGGCTGCCACTTTAGAGTAAACATGCGAGACCGCTTGCCAAATCGGGTCAATCAATGGGAATCCCTGCCACACATGCATCATAGTGCCAACAGCAGTCTGGCATCTCCAGCAGAGGTCAGAATTTGCAGAGTTGAGTTGATGGAGCCTGACTGGGGAGCGGTACCAGCGCGATAGAAGCTTAAAATTACACTCCTGTACCGAAGAGGCCATGTATGGGTAAGGCATAAACATTTGGCTCGATCAGCGTCTGAAATAGTCACATCTAGCTCCTTTTCCAAGGCTGAAAAATAATACAGAGAGTGTTGGTGATCAGAGGAGAGCAAAAGGCTATACAGAAGAGTAAGGGCATATTTTTTAAAGCAGTGAATGTGACATTCACCAAACATTTGCTGCAGGTGAATCAGTCAAGGCAATTTAGAAAACATGCACAAAGATACATCTGCCCTGAATGTTTGGTGAATGTCATACTCGCTGCTCCATGAATAAACACCTTAGTGTTGCTTAGATTAGAGTTGGAATTGGTGTTGGACGGTTTGTTGGGTTTTATATCCTCTCTGTATTCTGATTGAGAAAATAAATAATTGAGTGTAATTTCACCAACGGGGTCACAGACAACAATAAAAACTACAAGCAAAAAAACTGACTAAATGGGACTTTTACCGTCCTTGTAATGCGGTTTATGACATGAGAAACTGAGCGCATTAGTTACATATTCATGATATCATGGAAGCATTTCCAACACTACATGAAAGTCTAATGTCAGGGATGATTGGGTGCGTGAGTTTTAACCCCTGGAGCTCTTTAGAGGTGTCTGGTATGTCCAGGATTCAAGGGATTACAAAAAGCTGACGGCTGCAGCAATAAAGGTAAGTGGAAAAAAAAATAATATAAATATTTTTTTTTAAATGTAATTTAAATTAAATAAAATATAAAAAAAGTAAAAGCACCACTGTCACACACACACACACACATTTAAGTGTGTATGTAAACAACGATTGTCCAACACATGTTGGGTGTCACCTGCACGCCGGAGTGAAAGAAACAATTTTATGTCCCCCGTTTATAGTTATCTTTAAATTAATGAGCAGTAGTGGCTTTTCAAGCAATGAAAAATTGAAAGAGTTTTACCCCATGTGTGGCGCTCGACAGAGGTGGGGGAAACAAAAGGAAGACCGGCGGTACTAGGTGGGTACCCCGGTTGCGACTGGAGCATGGAAAGTTAGGAAAATTTTATGGAGGGGGGGGTGGGGTTAGTTCTGCAGGTGTGCGGCTTCTGCTGTGTTCGGACCGGGGTGTCCAACAAGTGTGCTGTAGGAAAACAAAAATTGGAGACGGAAGCGCCACTACCTGGCGCAATAAATGTGGTAGAGCAGGGTGTGAGCGTTAATGATGTACTCACCTATGGCTGGGTGAGCATTCGCTTGTAGCAGTCGGGGTGAGGTGGAGCGGATGGAGTGGAGCAGTAGTGGAAACGGCCCCTCTTATGCTGGGTGGTGTGGTAGTTGAACCAGGTGGAGCAAGTGGAGACACAAAAGCAAGGAGGTGAGGTATAAAGTGGTGAGTGAAGAAGGGGTGGACTTCTGAAACTAACCGTGGAGATAATGAAGAACGGTTCTCAGCGACGAAGGTGCGGCCAGCGTTGTGCCTGGGTGGAGGGCCGTGGGGTGATCCTCTGGGTGGCTGGTGACGCAAGTGTACTGTAGGAAGCCTCCGGTGGCAGGCGCTTGGGAGCGGTGGAGCGATGTGTTGTCCTGGAAGGGGGACTGGAGGACAGTGGAGCCGCCGGGGTGACACAGTACACAGCAGCAGCGGAGAAGGACTCACAGCCTCAGCGTGGGTGATATGTACTCTTAAGCCCTGCACTCTGTGTGTTACATTCTCCTGAGCACTGCATTCTGTGACTTATGCACTCCTCATGCCTGCGCTAAATGTGTTTTGAATCCTGCATTCTGTGGAGGTTTTTCACTAGTGAGCTTAGGCTGATCCTTCGGCTCTCTTCTGCCGCTGGAGCCCTTCGGTTCAGTGGAACCGAAGGGCTGCTGTACGAGCTATTCACAATACAGCCGAAGGCAGCCGAGCAGCTCAGCTGAGCCGAAGGCATATGCTTTGGCTCTACTGAGCCATAGTGACTAGAGATGGAAAGTTCGGATCTTTCAAATGAATCGGGTTCATTTGGATCAGTTCATTTAAAAAAAACAATTCATGAATCGAATCTTCGGTTCACTTGCTGAGACGGCTGACAAGTGAACCGAAGCTCAGGAGCTGTCTGACCCTTCATAAAAGATCCGAATAAGAAGACTCTGATTCAGAGAAGGGGGGCAGCTCCTGGGGATCTGTGCCTTGGCTCAGAGAGGTCACACATTTGGTTTTATGTCAGACCAGCCATTGTATCACATCAGCCAAAGTAGTCACTTCTGGTGACGCGCGGTCAGGTGTGACAGTAAAAAGCGTGTTATTGCGCATGCGCTCCACATTCTAATGAGCTGATTTCACATTGGTCAGATTTGTCTCTAGTCTTTAGAGCGCAATAACGATTGGATTTACTACCACGGGTACTGCGCCCATGGTACTAAAATCCTATCATTATTCCAGCCCATGAGCTGTAAAGACTATGGACAAATCTGACTACCAATGTGACATCACCTCATCAGAATGCGGAGCGCATGCGCAGGAACACGCTTTTTTACAGCTTTTTAATGTCAGCTGATCGTGCGTCACCAGAAGTGATGAAATTGGCTGATGTGATACAATGGCTGGTCTGACATAAAACCAAACTTGTGACCTCTCTGAGCCAAGACACTGATCACTAGAACGATCCCCAGGAGCTGCCCCTCTTCTCTGAATCAGAGCCTTCTGATTCAGATCTTTTATGAAGAGTCAGACAGCTCCTGAGCTTCTCCTTGTCAGCCGACTCAGCAACTGAACAAGTGAATCGAAGAGCCGATTCATTTGAAGATCCAATTCATTTGAAGATCCAAACTTCCCATCTGACTCCCGAGTATTAGGGCTCAGTCACACTAGATGCAGTGCGCTGCAAGCAATATTTTGATTGCACCGCACAGGATCAGACCGCAGGCACAATGTGCCTTGCGATCCCGTGCGGCGGATCGCATCACTTGAATGCCCCGCCACGCCACCTCCTGCCCCACTAAAAAGTGAGCCGGCCACAATGTGAGGCAGTGCGTTCTGGGCCGGAATGCACTGCATCTAGTGTGACTGAGCCCTAAGACTCCATGTACTGTGAGTCAGAGCTGTTAGAGGGCTGTAGCTAGCTCACAGATGTGATTGGTTGCAGGGAGGGGGTGGGCGGGGCTGGCAGGAGCTGAGCTCTCTGATTGGTTGCAGGGAGGGGGTGGGCGGGGCTGGCAGAAGCTGAGCTCTGCTCTAGAATCATATTACAAGAGCCGCTCTCCTATTCATTTTACACTGATCAAACGGATCAGCTCACTCAGAGGAGTCGACTCATTCAGTTCACTGAAGAGAATCGATTCAAAAGAACGATCCGTTCAGGAACTGGACATCACCAGCAGTGACAGCCAAAGCGGGGTGAAAGGCCTGCCGAAGGCCGGCTGTTCGCCCCACAAATGACAGCTGGGTAGAGTCAGCTGTGATCTCATGGCTGGGTCCGTCCAGTTGTAATGACCTGGGGACGCTGATCTGTCATTAAACAACAACAACTGGGCAGAGCCGGCCCTGACCTGCTTATTCATTGGCCGGGACCTGCTAGAAGACTCCAGTAGGTGCCAACCAATAGGAAACAGTTGGGCGGAGCTAGCTGTCACCGCTAGCTCTGCCCAACTGTGTTTTTTTTTCTTTTATTTAAAATATTTTTTTTTAATCTTCCTATTTTTTTTAAAGTTTTTTTTTCTTTTAACATTCTTTGCTCTTATTTTCTATTCTGCTTGGTACCACGGAGGTACCAAGCAGAATAGCCGAACTAAATGCCTCCGAGGCTATTCACTCACTGCCGTTCAGCCCCTATGAGAATGGATGGGGGCGAAAGGCAACGAGTCAGCTGCCGGAGCTTTGGCTCAGCTGATCCAGATGTTTTAATGGCTGAGTCAAAGTCCTTCTGCACTTCGGTTCAGCCGAACATACAGAGCATGTTCAGCTGACCGAAGGCAGCCGATGTATGGCTGATTTCAGCCGATGGAGGGGTAAAATCAGCCGTACTGAGCCGCAGTAATTAGCCGTTGGTTCTTTGTTCGGTTCACTTCACTTCGGCTGGGTTATTTACTCGCCTGCCTTCGCCAGCTTTTTGAATAACCCCCTGTGTGTTATGCACTCCTGAGCCAGGCACTCCCTGCAGTCCACACACCTAAACCCTGCACTCTGAGCATTACACACTCCTGAGCTTTGAATTCTAAACTTAAAAAAGGAGTAGCATTAGCAATGGCTGCGACTGCTTTTTAGAGTTTTTTCAAAACAGCCAGACATGGCATAAGGCAGCAGTCACAGGCAGCGCCTGAACCACATGATTGCTGACTATATCAGGTTGAAGCAGTGGCTTGGGGGGGCGGAAAAAAAATGTCTGCCCCGGGCGCCCATAACTCTGGTTACGCCACTGGGTTGAAGACTAATGCAGACACTCTCAGAGGTGAGAACCCTATGGGCCTATTGATTGTCTAGAACAGGGTAGCCAACCAGTGGTCCTCCAACTGTGGTGGAACTACAGATCCCATGAGGCATTGCAACATTCTCACAGCCACAGACATGACTCCCGGAGAGAGATGCATCATGGGAGTTGTAGTTTCACCACAGCTGGAGGACCACTGGTTGGCTACCCCTAGTCTAGAATGGACCACTGGCCAGAGCTTGCACAGTATGGGCTGGACTTTCTGGTCTGTCTTGCAACCAGTGTGGTGCCTAAACAGATTTTCAGTGCAGCAGGAGATTCTGTTTTGGAAAGGCAAATTCATCTCTCCCATGCGGAGAAGCTCACTCTTAATCAGTCATTGATTACCAAAAACTTCAAAGCCCCAGCTGTTGATGCTACAGACCAAATGTTTAAAAGTAGTATTAAATTCTCAATATTTTTTTAATAATAAATCTAGATCAAACAAATACACATCACCCAGCAAAGTAATTATATACAGTTTTGTCCAAGCACTTACAGTCATCATGTTTCTGAACAGCTCCAACTTTCTCAGCTCGGCTTCTCTGAACATCCTGTCCAGCACAAGATCACAAAGGACAGAGCAGTCTCCAGAAGCTGTCCATCTACCGGCTTGGAGGAAGGAGAAGGGAAGAGAGGGGAACAGGCAGCAGGGGAGTGAATTGCCCTGCTGTGTTTGTGGAGTTACACACAGCTTACTAGCACACACAAGGGTGGCTCCATAGGGCCTTGCAAGGGAAAAGAGACGTCCCCTAAAACAGGATGCTCAGGAGACTAACTGATTCTGCAGGTAGCTAAAGTTTTTAACCATCAAGGAGAAACATCCATTGTAAGTAGGGATGTCCCGATACCGATGCTAGTACCGGTATCGGGGCCGATACAGGGCATTTTCAGGAGTACTTGTACTCCTGAAAATGCCCCGATGCCTAGATCAGTAACCGGCCGTTTAAATTTTTGTAACTATCTTCGGCCATTGACCCCCGTAGCCCCTCCCCCGGAATACCTCTCCACCAAACGAGGCTCCCTCTCCGCTCTGACCTCTCCGGAAGTGTGACAGCATGGCGGGGTAAGTGTTGTGTGGACAGTCTCTTCTCCCTGCTGGTGCTGGCTGCAGAGCTCTGTATCATTTTCACAGACTGCTGTAGCCAGCACGAGAAGGGAGAAGAGACTGCAGCTGTGAAATCCCCCGCTGCCCCCCTCCCCCCTGTATCTTAGCTGCTGCTGCTCCTCCGTGTCCCGTCCTTTTCAACTTTATGAATCGGTTTCTTTTTGGTGATATATCTCAGTGTGAGATGCCCGTGCTCCTTGCTGCACAGCAGTTTTCACTCTCATTGTAAGAAGAGAATGTCCATTCAGTGTGCTCACTGGGGAGAGAAGAGAAGCTGTAAATCTTCCCTTCTCACAGAACGGACATTCTATTCTTTCATTGAGAGGGGAAACTTCTGTGTGGGTCTGGTGAGAGCATTATTAAACACATAAGGAGCATGGACATCTTACACTGAGATATACAACCAAAAGCAAACAGTTTCATCAAGTGGAAAAATAATGGACACTTGTAACAATAGCCAGCCTGCTATTGGCTATTGCAATTTAAAATATCCAATAGCAGGCTGGCTATTGTTACAAGTGTCCATTATTTTTCCACTTGATGAAACTGTTTGCTTTTGGTTGTATATCTCAGTGTAACATGTCCCAGCCACTACCTGCTGTATTTACATTCAGTAAAGTAGAAAGGTGACACTAGAGGACTAAAAGACCCCTAATGTCACCTTAAAGAGAACCTGTCACCTCCAATGCATGCAGCACTGGTGAGAAATTGCCCTAAAATCATTAGTCTGTATTGTTTTAGAAAATATGTCACATGTCCCTTTAAGAAAAAGTATCGGTAATTGGTATCGGCAAGTACATGAGGGACAGTACTTGTACTTGGTCTTGAAAAAGTGGTATCGGGACATCCCTAATTGTAAGTGATTTAATCATCATTTGAAATAGCTAAAAACCTGTCATCTAGCACCCTCCCCCCCCCCCCAAAAAAAAAAAAAGATACCTGCCACCATTACCAGATCCTGCCTGGTGTATTACAGTGCTCTGCCACTGTATAGGCAGCACACAATGTTTCCACAGCTTGGCGATATT